ATTGTTTTCACTAACAAAGGGTTCTCGTTATTTTCTTAATAATTTTATTACACATACATTTAATATGCATTCTAATTTTATAAAAATATTTCATGCTATTCTTATTTTCATAGGCTCTGAAGATGGACTTCCCGAAACAGCGCTGTTAGCCCTACCATGTCTATTGTTTTAAATAAATACGAGTTTAATAAATTCAGCCTTGTTGAGTGTTCATTAAAGAAAGTCATTAATGCAAAATGGGCATATATCTTCAATGATGTTTGTATTAAAGAAAACCTCGTTCCGAAATATATATATATATATATATATATATATATATATATATATATATAATATCCAACGCTAGAAATTCAGTAGATTTTATAAATTACTGCATATATATATATATTATTGTTATAACCGACCCCTTGAACTTGGATTCTTGACTCCTGAACAGTCTTATTTCAGATGAACTTTATCAGAAACAAAAAAGGGCTGGCAATCACTTGTGTGTATTGCTGTGATCAATCACTCGTTTATTCAATCGTTAAAATCGTTAGAATGCATCACAATAACTAATCGACAGACAAATCACGGAATACTGCCAATCTCTGGAACTCTCTACCTACTTCTCTGACTACTTCTCCATCACTTGCGAAGTTCAGAGCGGATCTCAAGACCCATCCGTTTTCAAAATTCATTGAGAAGCGCTGTTGAACATCGCGGAAATAGCGCTTTATAAGCTAATTGATTGATTGATTGATTGAATCGTCAATAATTAAGCTTCAATTATTAAATGAGTAATTATATTGAGTTCTCCTAGCCCTGGCGTTCTTTACTGCAGTGAGTTTCCAGCTATCGAAATTTTACTTCCGTCACCAATGTGTAATCTCCTGAAGATCCCACTTCTAACACCAGTGTTGTAACCTCCACGACCTCGTAAAACACCGATGTTATATCTGTAGGTTCAAGATTTCCGATAGATGATCACAACGACTTTAAACGCAAACTAAGTTGAACGTTTATTTAATACCAGCAGTAATAGAAACAATAAAGCTGAAACTGTAATAATAGAAACTGTAGCATGCTGTAGCATGAATTCGAAAAATAAGTTTATTTTGAATTTTAATAAACTAAACGTTCACCAAAAAACTTACCAACATATATATATATATATATATATATATATATATATATATATATATATTGCGTCTCTACTTTGTTGTTTCTTTGTTCGTTCCAAGTGTTAATTAATTTTAAAATTTTCAACTTTTTGCGATCATCAGTTATCATTATCGATGATTCCTCTGTTTCTTAACTTATTAGTGGGAAGAAATCCAATTGCACGTTGTTGAATGTTTATTATGTCGAAAATTATAATGATCGTTATTGTAATGTAAGATTTCAACATTGTTGTCCAAATTTGCCTAGAAATTTTAGTTTTGTGTTTCTCTTTCATGTGATTCTTCATAGCGCCAGTTTGTAAGTGCATCGTGAATCTTCTTGATAGCTCTGTCGTCGTCATACCAATATATTCGGCATACTCCTTCCTACACACACACACACACACACACACACACACACACACACACACACACACACACACACACACACACACACACACACACACACACACACACACACACACACACACACACACACACACACACACACACACACTCAAACACACACATATATATATATATATGTAGGAAGGAGACCATATTTTATACAGCATTGTATGAATTCTACCGAATTGTTGACATTAATCAATTTCCAGCAAACATATAAATTACAAATAAATGCTAATAAAAATATAATTCAGATAAAATATGTAACATGCGTGTATTTCAAATAATGTTAAGTTTTGGCATTGTTCATGACGTTGGATTGGAAAAATGTTTTAATTTACATGGGAGGCAGCTCAGCCGAGCAGATAATCCAAATCTTCCGTTCATCCACAAAATTTTTTGGAACGGAGGCATTATTTCATTCACAATTGTTGCCCCCTGTTTGGTATGTGTCTCAGCGTTGGTCTTTAACTCTCAGCTCAAAAGTTCTTTGGCGTTTTTTCCCACTGAATCGAGAAACCTTTGTCAGGCATTATTTAAAATTTTTATTAATCCTGGATTTGTTTTTAAATTTACAACACTACAACAATTATGTCAAATCGTTTCACCTTCAACCAATTCCAAAAAGTTGCACACACAAAGCCTACTAAGGCGTAAAAATGCTCATGCTCATATATGCTAATAATAATTTTTCTTATTCACTTCATCGTCCCAAGTTTGTTAGTTTAAACAAATTCTTCATAATTAGAATCATGACCTTTTTCAATGCTCATAAATCGTGTATCTTATAAAAGTATGTTTAAAATATTCTCTCCTGCTCACTATTTACGTGTTCAGAAATTCCATTTGAAACATTTCATGTAACATCCATACAATAAAAAGACAAAAAAATAATTAAAATTCAACCAATAAAGACAGTAGTAATTTATTAGCTAATAATTTTTATTCGAATCATCTTCAAGACTGACGGCAGTTCTAATAAAAATCACATCATCTTTAACGTAATCATTGGGACCATCGAGCAGTTTTGCTGGACAAAACATTGGGAACCCAGTTGCTTTATTAGAATCGCTGGTTGGTCTGTGGAAAGAACTGTTGGAGGGATCGGGAGTAAAGGAATCTTTAATGTGTTTTCTTGAACCAGACTGGTCTAGCAGTTCAAAAAGTATTTGATGTTTGAACGGCCAGACGAGCAAAGCATCATACATGCCTCGCATTATGACCAGGAATATAGAGACATGTGTTCCCTTTCCTATGCTGTCTCCGTTTAAATATAAACGTACTGATAACTTGTAACCTTGAAAATATAACATTTGATTTGGAATTTTATTTTAAATAAACTTTCAAATGGTTAGCCCAAAGGCAAAAAATGCAAAACGCTGTTTATATGATAACATCAAAGACAGTAAACAAAGCGTATTAAACTCTACTTGTGCTTGACATCTTTTGCAGAAAAGTGATAAACTGCCTTCTCAATTGAAAAATTGTTAGTTGTAGTACTAGCGTCTATTTTTATATGATCTATATCACAATCAAATAACACATTTTTTCCTACAATTTACAAATCGATAAAAATTGGCAATTGGGCATTCATCAACAAAGGAAATTAACAACGAAATAATTTCAAAAGTATTGTCCATAATAATAATTTTATAAATAAAATTTATACTGAAATAAAAGAAATTAAACCAGTTTTATCGGTATAGAAGAGGGGAGAGCTGATACTTCTTGTCTGTTCAGATACTGCTTGCCTACGAAGATCTTTGAAATTCCCAATCTTCCATATTAAGGTGCCGTCTGTGCTTCCCTTCTCCAAGTGATCTATCCTCTCAGATAAACAGTTGATAAGGGTATCTTTGGATGTTAACTGATTCTGAACGGATTGCAACTGAGATTCAAATGCCGTCAACTGGGTAAATTATGATTCAACATAAATTTTATACGATTTCATTTGAAAGATAATTTCATCGATATCTATATGTATTTCATTTGAAAGATCATTTCAGTAATATTTGAAAGCTGCCTTTACAGGCAGCTTTCAAATATTACTGACGTTTGTTGTAACTAAGCCAATAAATTTCAGTTTATTTTGTTGTCCTGTATTTTTATGTTTTTAGCAAAAAGTCTTTCGACGCCCTTTTAATCATATGATATCAGCAGGTTTCTTTTGCAAATGGTTTGTCTGTGAGGCAGGATCTGTCATTAGAGTACGACAGAGTTCAGTGCTTGGCCTGCTGATGTCTGTTTCTGGTATGTTTCAGATGTCGCTGGATTGCGGAATAGTCCAGTATTTTAGCACGTATGTCTGCAGCTCAGCTTCTCTGGGGAGCCAATAATATAAGTAGGAATTTCAACTTGTAAAACAATGGTTGACGCTTGGCTCGCGTCAAAAAAATTGTTACTTAGCACTGGCAAAACAGAATCTGATTTCAAGAGAATCTCTTCAAAGTCTGTTTCCCTGGTAAACAAAAAAAAAAGATGTTGGTTAGCACGGGAGAGAAACTGTAGATTTTTTATTTGGAACAAAAGAAACCACAAATTAAAGTACGCTTTTACAGCAAGTACAAAAATGCCTGCCGAGATGTGTTTTGATCCATGATTGTAGCGTTTATAACGTGAAATGAATTACTGTGATGGCTAGTTCTCTGGAGCTAGTTTTTCGGTGTTGTACAGGTTAGATTTGATCCAAAATGGTGCTTTGAGGTTTGTCGCTGGCATTGGTGGATTGTGACCATATATGAGACCAAAGTTATGAAGAATGGAGAGAAATTGACAAAAAAGCCCGAAATGTACACTGAGTGGGTTGAGTGCCTATAAACGTACATAATGATGATGATATCGTATATATCATCATACATATTATATAAATATTTATTGGATTAGGTATATATATATATATATATATATATATATATAACAAAAATTACCTTAGAACTAAGATTGGCCAAATCATTGTTATAGACAACCAGCAACTTTTCATAAACATCAAAGTGTTCTTTTATGTCGTCCTTAACTTCAACTACATTTTTATGCAGTGATTTCAAATGAAAATCAACATTATTCTCCATATGACACTTCAGATCATTATTATTGAGAATCTATAATGTGAATATTTTGGCATGAATAACTAAAAAATTTTATAAAAAATGAATTGAGTCATGAAATGTTGGTTACTAACAAGCTGTGCACATCCAAATGGGCATTTGACTTCCTCAATCCTGACTGTATCACATTTTGTTGCTTGATGCATCGGCATCTTTCAAAACCCAAAAAGTAAATGAGCATTCAAAAAAATGAGTAACATAGATTACATACTTTATTTTTGACAATATGCTTGCTACAATCCAAACAGAGTACTAATTGATATTCACAGTTTGAGAAATGATCCTGGAAATTAAATTTTATAAATAATTTCCTTGATTCACATTTAACTTGTAAATAAAAAATATTACTTCAATATCCCTGTAACTGCCTTCCCAAGGACAATTTTTGTTCTGGCATATAAATGTAAATCCACACATTTCTCTTTTAATGGCATTGTCAGCATGCGCCTGAAAATTAATTTGTAATAAAACATTCTTAAAAAATTAAAATCTACAATTAGTTAATTGGTACTGTTTTGATGTCAATGAAACGCTCTGGATCAGAACTTCCCTCTTTCTCACAGGCTTTACAAATTGACTTTGGATTTTTCCCATTTCTGAAATGATATCAAATTTATAAAAACTAAATAAATAAATAACTTTCAGGTGGTGGGTATAAAAAATACATTTGGTCTATGCAAGTTCTACAGTATCTATGGCCACAGCAATTCTGAGTAGGTGCCCGCAATATCAGTGCACAATTTGTACAGCAGTACTTGCTTAACTGAGGAACAACACTTTTCAATAAGTTTATAGGAAAGCCTCCTAATGTCATCTTGAGTGAAATCTGGAAAAATTTTATATTTTAAAAGTATTCAATTAAATTCATGTCTTACAGAAACTTAATTAATCAAAAAATTAATTATTTGTTCATTATACATTTTATTATATTTATAAAAGAAATCAAAATTATATACGGTTTAAGAAAAATCTTGTTATGTTTTTTCTTTGCTCTCAAATGGATCTTTGATCCAGAAAATTTTTATAAATGACTAAAAGTACAATTTTTTTATTTAATTATCATAAAATAAAAAAAATTATCAATGTATTTTTAATTAAATGTAGTTTAAAAAAAATACTATATGATTATTTATAATGGTTTTTTAATGATTCAACAAAATTCAATGTGTCAATCTGTTTAATTAACTTTAAATTTTTAATAAATAACAGATAACTTCTTAAAATAACTTATAAAAATAAAATTACACTAGTATACTATACTTACTTATGATACTTAGTTTTACTATAGTTTACATATTTTTATTTACTAAATTTTATTTTATAGTTTAACAGTTAATTTAAAATTTAATTAAGACAGTTTATTACATACCGTTTTACAGGACTAAAAAACTGTGTATTTTTATACACAGACAGTATTCTTGTCTTTACAATTTTGCTCTCTATTTAACATTAACTTTAATTTAATTTAATTAAAACCACTGTGTATAAATAACTCAGTGTTGTTTGTTTTATTACTTACTAAGAAGAAAGTGTATGGCTAATGCTTATGTTTGTATGTAGAAAAAAGATAAATAATGTATAATCATCCCAATGAATGAAGAAAATCCAAACTAATAACTTATCATTTATTATCAATTTATTTTTATCACCAAATTACTTTGTTGTTACGAAACGAAAATAAGTTTAATCAAATTAAAATAGAAAAAACCAAAAGGACGAATAAAATCTGAAAGATTGGTTCTTTTGGAATTCCCAGCATTGTGAACGGGGATGTGAGTGGCATTTAAAAAAGTTTATTCTAATTATATGGTCAAATGCAAGGGGTGGCCTATATACCATCATATAACACCTTCTTATGGGTTGAAGCAGGGATATGCAAAGAACCTCAATTTTTTCAACTTTTAATTATTTTCAGTAATGTCTCCCCTTGCTCCAAACAACATAACTAGAATAATAGGACTAATCGATCAATTCGATCTATCGGTCAGGCTATTTGTCGTGCTTGGATTGTTGGCTTACGAAATTGAATGGATTTTAACGAGCAATCTAAATGAAATATTTACTTGATTTAATATGCTTAAAACATTGTAGTAATTTTATTTAATTTTAATAATGATTAATAAAATTATGTATTATTTAATTATTTTTGTTAATTTGAATATAAAAATTGTTTTTGGTCCGGTGAAATCCAGTGGCTTACTGAAGCCGAAGGTTGGCTTAGTAGGATTGAACTATAGTCACCCTTTTTTTTACACTATTTGATCATGTTAAAAATTGGTTTGCTTATGAAATAAACGGCCTAAATAAATCAAAATTGTTATTTGAACAACTATCTTCATTATATTCAATGAATATTTTACATTCTGCTGGCGCTCATAAGAAACTGGCTGCAGAAATCATACGTTGGCTTACAGCAGTGGCTTACAGGGTTTCATAGAACTCTTACGATTGCACTTTTTTGTACATATAATGCTTTAAATAAATCAATATATTCATATCACAATTATTTTTGTCAGTATAAATATAGAAATTGCTTTTGTCAGGTAAAAAACAGTGGCTTACTGAAGCCGTAGGTTGGCTTAATCGGATTTTTTCTCATGTATGCAATACTATGAGATAAATCAATCAAACAATCAAACAATCAGTCAGTCGGTCGGTCGGTCGGTCGGTCAGCCAGCCAGTCATATATGTGTATATATATATATATATATATATATATATATATATATATATGTTGGTAATAGGCCATAATTTTTACAATATTTTATAAATTCTAACGAAATGTTTGGCGTTAATATGTTTGTAGTTTGTTTTTTCGATTAAACAAACATATTAACACCAAACATTCGGTAGAATTTATAGAATATTGTAAATATATATATATATATATGTATATATATATATATATGTATATATATATAGTAAGAAAGAGAAAGAGAGAGAGAGAATAAGACAAAGGGTATGCGTAAAAAATAACGTTTCAATAAATAGATAAAAATATACAATACACATACACGCACACACAAACAAACTCACACACACACATACACACACACACACACACACACATATATATATATAACGCTTGTATTAAAAGAAGAATGCAAGCTTTTGAAGAGCATAATGAGAACAACTATTTTTATTTCGTTGTTGTTGTCGCTGTAATTATTATTATATTGTTTTTCGTTGATGATGGTTGTGATGATGATGATGATGATCGTCATCATAGTTAACAAGATTAACAGTATGACATACTTAAAATACATTGACAGACATGACATGAATGTTTATTGTACTGCGTATATATGATGGTAGTATGTATGTATGCGTGTATGTATGTACGTATATATGTTTATTTGTATGTATGTGTGTCTGTGTCTCTTTATGTGTACATGTTTTTATTCGAGATTTTAGTAAGAAAAGAGAAACACAACAGTTGCTTTTATTTGACATCATCAAAAGATGAAAAGTGACGAAAAATTAATATTTTATAAATGTCAATTTTTTAAAAAGTTCAAATTTTAAACAAATATAACAAAATATCGATCGATAAAAAATAATTATCACGAAACATGAATATTTAGTAAGGACAGTTCACAGCATATCATAATGACTAAATCAACATACCAAACAGAAATTATTCATGCATGCATATATACAAAGTAAATCAGGAAATATCCAAAATTATATAACCAAAATAAGAAACTAGAAAATTTATTTACAAATAAATAAATAGACATTATTAAAAAATTTAAGGCGACGACAAAAAAAATTGCAGTTTGTTTTGTTGGTGTTGTGTGGTGCTAAG